TAGTGGTATATTTAATATTTTTAACTAAATACTTCAATGTAAGTTTATATATAAGATATGCACAGTTTTTTTTTTCTTTCTTTAATATCAGATTTAGAACAATAAGTGAAACATATCACAATTGTTTGCACATTAAAGAAAAATGTCCTGATATTAAAGTGCAAAAATTTGCCAATTGTAAGTTCATCTGTTTTTATTCATTTTATCTATTGTTAAATAAAACCAGATAAATGTTTTTCATTTAAAAGTGTGCATGTATATTTAACAAGTTGCTAAATAATACATTATACATAATAATACATTATAAATAATTGGGGAGAGTTGCCAAAATTAGCACAGCGCCTTAATTAAAACACTTGCATTTATTTTTGAAAAAAAAAAAATATAAAAAATAAAAAAAACTCATTATTATCTACGTTTTGACAAATTTTTGAAAGTTATTCCTCAAAAAATGCGTTTGCACTATTAATTTAAAGCTTTTTTGCGTCATATTTTTTCAGCGATCTAATTTTGTGTTCACACTATATTGATTGCGCTGGGTAAACTATGGTGCTACAAGTTATACCGTTTTTTGTGTTTAATTCAATGGGATTTAAAATGCAAAATAACAATATAAATTTATCTTATAAGTTGTTGCAAGCATGTTATTGGAACATTGAAGTTTTCCTTACCTAATCAGTAATAAAATCAAAGGGCTGTAAAAGTAGTTCGAGTGCAATTAAAAAAATACTTAGAAACAACCATAAACTTTAAAAATAATACTTTATTTAGTGATTTTTAATCAATAAATTTAGAGAACGTCATAACAGTTGAAGATTTATACATTTTTTTGTTTGTAGACTTTAAATTTATCAGGGTAATACTAATCCTATAATAAGTTTTGAATTAATGGTTTAAATTTTCACTGTAAAGATGAAAATCATTTTTTACAAATTTTTGTTGATTTTACTGGATTTTTTCTTTTAAGAAAATAACCTGTTCTGATGAAGGAATCAAAGTGTTTCAATTTAGGGAACCAGTTGCCTTGATTGGAGCAGAATGTCAACTTTGCAAAAACAAATTTATTTCCAATCACAGTGAAATCAACTAAGTCAAACTGTGGTTAAAAGTATAGTAGGGATGTCTGTTTGTATTAATCAAATCATAAATGTTTTCATAGTTAAGCCATCTTTGGGTAATAAATATTTATTTCTTAAGTGTTCCAATTACGGCAACTCTTCCCTACATAAAACATTTCTTCAACAAGTTAAAAAAGAATTTCAGCGATGGATTGCTGCACTTTATTGTTATGATAAACTGCCATCAAATTTTAAGTCTATTAGTGGAATAAGTATGTTATTAAATGTTGTCTTTTCCTTTAGAGAAGATGTTTATTGTATTTAATTTAATTTTTAGTTTTCCACAAGGGTTTTTTATTAATATTTTACTTGGTTTGAACTTTTTTTTTCTAATAGGTTTTCATTCTACAATATATATGGAACTACAATGCCTAAAGTTTTAAAAAGTCTTTATCTGCAGTGGATATCCTGGGGAAAAGACTGAGTTTGAAGATTCATAATTTTATTATGATAAAATAAATGGTATAAAAATGTTTGATGAAAGTGAAATAATTTTGAATAATAAAGCAAAGTTTTATTTTTTTTTAAACTCTTGTTTACATTTATGTATAAAGTTTTCCTAAATAAAGTAAAGTGTGATCAAACTAAATGATTATCGATGATTTTTTAAGTTCTTTTTCAGCTTTGCTAATAATACTTTGGATGAAATAATGTCAAAATATGTTCTACCATTGTTTAAGAAAACTGGAGCCTATGGAAATAGATCATTTTAAAAAAACGTTATTTAGTAGAGTATATATAGATACTTTTTAAATTTGTATATTGTTCCTTTAATATACTGTGTGATATTTTCCATTACTCATTTCTTATTATTATAATTTACATTTTGATGCATTTTTTTACATGCTAGTGAAATGCATGAAAGATTTGTATGGTACATTATTTTAGGAGCATAAGTGTCACATACAACAAAATTCGATTTGGTCGATAAGTTGAAAGACGATTGTTTGAAGAAAATAATAGAATAAATAGCTTAATAGAATAGCAAAAAAATCTACTATATTATGTTTTTGTATGCTTAAATTGTAAATAAACACAAAATGTTAAAATTTTTTATTATTTATACAGATCTAGACTGTTAGACTGTTTTTTTTCTGTAAAACATAAGTTATTTACTTAAATAACTTATACTTAAAAATAAGGTTGCTAGAAAAATGTTAAAAACGACAAGTCGTTTCATTTAGACGTAATAAAAACCAATAAATAACATTTTCAGAAAAACGTTCATTTATCGCTTCATATGGATGTTCAAAAAACCAATAAAAAACATTTTTGTAGGTCCATTAAAAAAACGTTCACAAAACGTTTTAAAAAAAACGTCCAGTCGCCGTTTCACATGAACGTTTAAAAAACCATTAAAAAACATTTTTACGGGACCATAAGAAAACATTTGCAAAACGTTCTTGTGCCTAAAGGGCTGGAATAACCAGAACCACCTTGTCCAATTTGTAAACATGAAATACATAAAACTGAACAAGTTGAAAAAAAAACATGTTTATCTTCATCGAATGATAGAAGAACAGTTTTTTAAGAAGAGTTTTTTTATTGAATGTGCTGAGCAAAATGACGATTGGGTGACTCTGGCGCAAACTTTAGGTGTCAAATATTAGAGGTGGTTTTAAACCAAAAAATTACCAATGATCAAATCGAAGAAACACTAACATGAATTGAAAAAGACTGTCAGTTGACATTGGTTGCCATTAAAACAAAGATATTAAGATAATTTAATATTAGCGTCAGCACAACCACAATTACCAATGACTTCGAAGGCAGACTATTTTCATTTAAAAAAGTGCACAAGGAGCCAACTACAATGAATAGTAATGAGAACAAACAAAAAAGAGCTGAATATGTTATTAATTTAAACGAACACATTACAAATGGTCATCAGATAGTATGGTTGGATGGAACAAATTTTAATCTTTTTTGTAGAAAAACGCAAGAGCGTGCCAAACAGGGGAAAAGAGTAATAATGAAAAGACCTTCTTCAAAAGGTGAAAACATGTATTTGATTGCAGCAATATCAACAACAAATGTCGTCATGATGGAAACTCGCAGAGGATTATTTAGAGCAGATTCTTGTAACGAGTGGATGTTGGTTTTATTTAAGTGGATTACATCCAGGAATTGTTTAGAGGATTTGGTTGCCGTAACAGACAATGCTCAATTATATACAATAATGGGAGGTAATTGTACATGCGCTGTACAATTGTACAGCGTGTGTACAATTACCTCCCATTATTGTATACAATTGTATTATTGCGTAATGCGTGGTCGTATGTTAACATACGATCACGCATTACGCAACGATTTTGAATATGGAAGACGTCCCAGTTGGTGCTCAACTGAATATTACAATGATTTTTAATGACGTTGTTTAAGTTTAAATTTTAAATTTTTTTGTCAATAAATTACTTGTGTTTTATTTATTATTCATCTGAAATCTCGATTAAATTTTCAACAAACAAGAGTAAAAGAAAGTTTTGTTTGACACCCGATAGGATTTTGTCAGTTACCGCCTAAACCTCAAATGCCTATTTCATGGCTTTTTATATTTTATTGATATTATATTATTATTTCCAGCCTTAAATTACAAAGTATTTAAAGGGTTACAAAATTCAAAATACAAAGAACTTTGTATTCTTTATAATTTCATTAATTACAACTATTCAATTACATTTTACGATTTACGATTCTTAATTACAACTTTTATCTTTTCAATTACATCTTACTTTTCTTATTACAATTTTCAAGTTCTCAATTACATCTTGAAATATATTTCAAAATATATAAAATTGATATTTTGCCATCCATATCTTCTTTGAGCCTCAATCCAAGGTCGGCGCGATAGGTGTGTGACCCCTCTCCCCCATCAGTGATTTTTTCGTTTATTTAGTCGACATATTTGACCCTTTGTGACTAGTTAGTCGGCAAATGTAGACCTTTTCGACAATTAAGTCGGTAAATTTAGACAGTCAGTCGACAAATGTCGTTATAGTAGTCGGGGGTTTTTAAAAAACAAGGACCTTTTTTTTTTTTAAGTAGGCAAAAGTTGTTATGGTACTAACAACTTTTAATAATAACTAAAAATATAATGTGATAAAACGAAAAATAAAATTAGTCAGTTAAATAATAACAGTAAAAAATAAATATATAAACCAATCTTCTACTTTTTCTTCTTTTTTTTCTCCTTTTTCTTTGTTTTCTTTCTTTTCTTCCAAACTTTCTTTTTTTCCTTTTTTTTTCTTTTTAAGTTTATGAAGTGTTCTTTTTTTTTTTTTAATTATTAATAATCTCTAAAATGGAGTAAATGGTAATCTTATTCTACCATTAACTCCATTTTGTTCACCGTTGTCTCTGTGCATGTCTTGATTTTATTTTAATATGAACATCAAAACAAGGCTTATTTTTTTGGGTTGAAACTAAATTCCAGTGAGCAAATCCATGTTTCGCGTTTTAAGAAAATCCATTAGCCGAATATAATAAGTGCAAATTATTATTTGAAAATGAGTATAAACGGTTTAAATAAATTTAAATAATTCGGGTCTCGATTTTACAAAAAACGCGAAAACTAGGTTTGCTTCCTGAAAAAAAGCATCGACCTTTTTTTGAATATAAACTTTAATACTAAACCCACAAAGTAACTAAAGAAGTTAATAATTTGCGCGAGGTCTTGTAAGATACGATGTAAGATTAAATTAAATTTTAAAGATATTTTATATTTTGTTCAGTTAAAATACAAATGTAAATGAATGATTAAATTATTTTTATTATTTGTTTTTAAAGTTTGCAAAATATTTTCCTTAAAATAAAGAATCTCTAATACGGATAAAGAGTTTCTACAACTTTATTAATTAATTGTTAAATGAAATGACATCTTACCATTTTTGAAACATTTTTGCAAAATATTTTTTATTAACATTGACTGTAGCATTTAAGTTGTAAAAGTTTCTTCTTTAAAAGTTTTTGTAGAATTTTTCAATTTAAAATAACTCTGTATCTTGTTTATTTTCGCAAATAGATAAAAAATAATTAGGATTTGTAAATATTTGCATGTTTGCGAATGAAAAAAAAAATATGAAATCTTTTTTAATTTTTTATTTTAGGTCTATTTTTCAGCATTGTATTTACATTTTATTAAACTTAAAAAAAAAATGTGTATTTTATTATGAAAAAAAAAGCTGCAATTAAATGTTTTTATTCTGAAATTTTATTCCTTTTTTTTTTTTTATCTATTTTATAGTTATTTGCTGTTTATTTTTCATTGCTATTTTAATCACTTTATTTGTTATTGGCTTTTGAGTATTTATTAATTGCAATCACATCAATGTTAAAAAAAAAATTTTGTGCATAGTTTGATAACTTTTGAGCATCTAGTTATAACCTAATTGCTTTTTTTGTTGTTGTTGTCTTTCTGCTTGCTCTAATTATTACAAAATCTTGAACTCAGTTTTTATGGATCTTGAAAATCGGTTGGCGTTCTATCGGATGATTCAAAATAACATTTTGAATTTTTAAACTAACGCAGACCTAGAATATTATTATCTGCTCGTACGCATGCGTTTAAAATGAAAAACAATCACGCTTTTAATAAACGAGTTTCTCTAACCTTGAACGAAGTTCACTTTATACAAATTTTTTAATTAATATTCGAATAAGAATGAGTGAAGATGAATTTTCTCTTATATTGAAAGATTTATCGGGTAATTTTTATTCTTTAATGTAACTTTTTTATTGATTCATCGAGTTCTTTACTAGTGAGTTTTTTAAATGCTAAGCTTTTATCAGACTTTGATAGATAGTTCAAGAAATGTGCAGGAGTGTGTTTGATTTTACTGGCTAAGTTTGGACCAATATTTACGAAAAACTCATTAAGTTTTGTTGCCACCGATTTTACATCAGAGTTCTGTGTGCCGTCTACAGTAATCACGCTTGGTAAGACTTTGTTGTGTATTTTTTGTTTTCAAAGAATCTCTTTAATAGCATCCCATGTTTCCAGTTACCTTTTAGTTCTAACAGCTTGTTTTTGAAGTATGTAGTTCTGGTTACTTTTTTAGTTCTTTCATATAGACGTTTATGCTCTAAGTAGTTATGCTTGTCACGATCTTTCTTTGATTTAATAAAGCGTATATATGGCTTTTGTTTTCGCTTCAAAAATTTTAAGAGGTTTTTAGTAGTGTACCAAGGATTAAAAAGTCTTTTAGTTTTAATACGGCTTGTTTTGTTAGGAAAATGTTTATCGTAAAATTTGAAAAATTTATCTAGAAAAAGGTTGTAGCTCTTATTAGCACATGTCTCGAGAAAAACAAAGTTCCAATTTACAGTCGAAAGCTCAAGTTTAAACATATTTTTTGCTCGGGTTGTAAAGATTCTTTTTTAGTATATCTTTAGGTTTTTTGAAAATTGCATAGACTGGAAAATGGTCTGTTATGTCACTTCTAATGATGCCTGATTCAGGGCCGACGACACGGGTTTTGAAGTGTGTGTGTGTGTGGGGGGGGGGGGCACAATCATCATTTTGTGAAAAAAGTCCTCTATATCAAGATTAAAAAAAAAAAAAAGTCTTTAAGAAAAAAAGCGGGGGCACGTGCCCCTTCCGGTGTCGTCGGCCCTGTGATTTGAATGTGGAATGGGAGAGTGTGCTTGTGAAAATATTGTCGATAACAGAACAAGAGTTTTGTGTTATTCTTGCTGGTTTTTTTATTATAGGCATCATTCCAAACTCATTAAAGCGATCGTAAAATTGTTGTACTTTATTATTTTCACCATATTTTAAATATTCGACATTATAATCTCCAACAAATAAAAACGAGTAGCCTTATTTTTTGCACGCTATTTCAAAATAATCATTTAATTGATTTTTTAAGTTATTTAAACATCCGTTGGGTGGCCAATTTGTAGTTTTTACAATAATATTTTTTTATGACTCAATCTAAATTTCTAAAATGAAAAATTCAAAATCCGGCTCAGAGAACGAAACCTAATTTTATAAGTAAATTCATTAAGCACATAGACACATATACCACCGCCTGTTTTTGAAGATTTACGTTCAAAACTGATGGCTTTGTAGTTGGGCAAAATAAAATGAAAATTTTGATTAAAGGTTGTATCTAAAATCCAGCTTTCGGTTAAACAAATTAAGCTAAAGTTAAAGTTAAGATAATCTAGAATTGATTAGAAAAACATAATTCACATCTTTTAAGGAATTCAAAGTAAGAAGTGTTTAGTTTGTTTTTGTTGAGATGTTGATCTTGAATAAGTTGAGTTTTTATTCAAGTATAGTCAATATTTGTCTTTTTTTGGGAAGATACTATTGATGACGTTACTAAATTATTGGTTGCTAGTGGCTATTTGTGAAAAATTCGAGTAAGATTATTATTTCTAATACCGAAAAGAAGTTTAATTTTTTCTTGTTCACTTCTTAACGCCTTTTTTTCGTTTCGTTCTATTAATTTATTTTTTAGAATGAATCTTTGACTATATACACATTTTCATATTCTTTAATTTTTCTTAATCTAATTGATGCTTTAAGAACCATGTTTTTGTTATTAACGTCTTCAAGCTCGATAAGCAAAGGATCTATGCTTCCTTTAGATTTAAGACGGCGAATAAATCTCACTTTTACTTCATCGGATTCGATAGCATCAAGTAAATTATTTGCTTACGATTTTTCATTTTCTAGTTTTTCCGTCTCTGAAGAACATTGCGAACAACTTCTAATCCGTAGATGATGACGTTTGTTTCTTTACCTTCCTGCACTTTACGTTCCTTTGTGGTTTCAAAAGGAAGAGATAATTGGTCATTTGTTACTCTTTAATAACCCTTTAATGTGAAGTTTTTGTAGAATAATGTTTCAGGAATAAGAAAACAAAGATCTCTTTTATGAAAAATTTTAATAAAATGTTTACATGGGTACATACGTTTGTGCATATTTTGCATATACATAATGTATGTGCATGTTTTGTATTTATGTATTGTATATGTATGTAATGTTTTAAATTATGTTTTAATGAGTGTAATATATTTTAATATTGTATGAATATAATGCAAATCTACCGAGTGTTGTATAATTACTGCTTTGCTTATTAAAAATAGATTCCCACCCAAACACTGCTGTAATTTTATATCCACCTGCAAATTTAGAAATTAGGCAAATTTTAGCTTCATATGGAGATGTATGTGCTAAAATTAAAGAACATGAAATGTTACACACAGTGCATTACGTTGTTGCTTTTAAACAAAGCATGGAAAAAAGCATAGAAGGTTTGCAACAGCTTTGAGTTTTATATTATTACTTCTGTTATTTTTATATTTATTCAAAAAATAATTATCTAATTTATAATAATCATTAAACAACCGCCTCAAAACCACCTTCAAAAATAATAAAATAAAAATATTGAATTAGTAAAAAAAAAAACTAACTTATTGACTTAGTATTAAATATTTTAATAGCTAAATTGAAAAAGTTTTTATTTTTTCAAAATAATTTTGCCTAAAATAGCAATTCACTAAGCCCACTGCCACTGGTAAATAAAAGGAATATTTTAGCAAGTTCGGATAGGATAATGTTTTGTGCTAGTTGACCAACTCTTGTAAGGGTTTGCTAATATTAGCGAACGATTTCATGTAAAAACTAATATCATTTGAAATTGAAATTGCTTTTTCTTACATCTTCATACGTGTGTACTTTTTCGCAGAATCATGTTTTCATTTACATTTCTTTTTCTTAAGAAGTAGAGGATCGTTGTCAACGGTGATGATTTATCGGTGTCAAACAGCCCATGACTAAGAAGGATTTATTGCATTGTTTCATTTTAATTTGTTTTATGAGTGCTGGCCCATACAATATTTACGTGAAAAAGCTGGCTATGTACAAGACTAAAGTAAAGCATATTACGTGATTTACTTTCGAGAAAAGGTCTCCACTTATACAGAACACCTACTACAAAGGACACCTTTGTTTCAAGAAGACCAATATGGTTTCCCCATCACAAATTTTCATCAAAAAGTACTCCCAAAAATTGTGTATATTTTTGACGTTTAATTTTATTTTTATTAATGACCAGTTTAGGCAGCTTTAGTGGAAGAATAATTTATTGTTTTTTTTATGAAAAAGAGTAAAGCTAGTTTTTTTCCACAATTTAGGAATAATTTACTTTTTTTTTTAAATTTCTTTTTACTCATGAATACATTTTCGCACTGAAAACAGTCACAATTTTTGGGCTCCTGAGATTCAGCTGCCCTTGAACTCGTCAATCAGTAAGATCATTTTGATCATATTTGTTTGTTTTTGTTTTGACAATAAAAACAAACAAATAACTTTTAAGCTGAAGACGCTGGTCACAACAATCCAGCAAAAATTTCTTTTAAAAAATAAATTTAGTACCAAGAGAAATTTGTATTTATTGATGTTTTTAAAATAATAATTTATATACTCTCATACATAATGTCTACATTAAAATATATATATATATATATATATATATATATATATATATATATATATATATATATATATATATATATATATATATATACATATATATCTTATATACATATATATCTTATACTGCTGATATACCTATATCAGCAGTATAAGATATGTATGTATATATAGCAATCTTTCTCAGCAGGCTATTTTAGTGTGACCTCACCAGTGTAAGTGCTCACCAAACTAGCAATTTAAGTTATATATATTTATCAATATACATTTACCTATATACAATATGCGATAGTATAGTTTGCATAAAGTTTTTTATATACAAAAAACTCTACAAAAACGGTGATCACAAAACAATGAAAACCTACTAGATCTCACAATTGACTTCAATGAAGTCAACTTTTCATTAGTTTGCATTATAATATCATTGGTTGTTATTAAAACTTTTTAACTAAA